TACCGACTGTTCCTGCACGTCGTTGAGTCTTTAAAGTGACTGTACGCCCCTGTTGAGCCGTGATCCGCTGACACTCCGTGCGCGCGGATTGCCATGATTTCGGTCAATTTTTAAACTCTTATAACTAACAAACGAAGCATTTTTCGCAATTTCGTTATTCTTGATTTTCGTCTTATTTTGCCTCAAAGAATCACCCCTTAAATTTTTTCCCACTAGTACTCGAACACCCTGTATATGCTTTTTGAGGATATTTTACATAAGGAAGTGAGCAGTCTAGTATACAGGGTAAACCACGAATCGTGATCAGTAGATAATATTAGATATCATTAGACGTGTTCCAATCTACAGAACGAAATGTTTACAAACAGTAGGCAAGAGCTCAACATCGGAACGCGTACAATGGCGTAGTATACGATACTCTTTGCAATATTACAGTTCGAATATTTCTTTAATCTTTTCTCGACCCAGATGCAAATAAAAGTAACACATGTTATGTTATGATACTTAACGAATTCGTCTTGAAATCCTCTAACAGATAGGCGCAAAAAAATTATAGATTCATTTGCAAAAAATTGAAGGTGACCTTAAAAAATCATGAAAAAAAAGAATTTACAAAAAATTTGCTATAATCACGGTAAAGCTCTCTTGAAACCATGCTATGCCTGATAAAAACATTTTCGATCGGACTGCTAATAACAGAGTAATCTCTACTGATCATGATTCGTGGTTCACCCTGTATAATATAGAAGTCTGTGATTTTTCCTGACATCTTCTGGATGGCAAAATTGGGGTCGCCAACTATGATATTTCGTTCGTCTCCCTATTTTTGTGCCCGAACCATCGCGGTGTGTCCCTCTCCTTATCTTTTCCCTGCGCGTTGGAAAGCTTTCTGCCTCGGTCTCTAGCGTCAATCTCTCGAAAAACCCTTCTCTTTCTTTCGCCTCTTGTTGCGCTGTAATCATGCAGCTGGCCAGGGCAGAGAGGGATAGCACTTATTGTCAGCAGACATTACTCTACCTCCCCTCCCCGTAGACACTCCTTGCTCCCTTTTCGCCACGGTTGAATTTCGTATCCCGGCCGCCGTAGTTTGGGACAAGGATAACAGAAGAAACAACTACGCGCGTTGTACGTGCCTCGAATTTCTTGCCTCTACAACCAGATACTCGCTTATTCCCGTGTATTCTCCTCACGCTTTCTCCAATTGATGGGTTTCGATATTCTTGCCATCTATTTTCCTCTATCTTGCCACTTCATTCGTTCTTGAAGTCGATACTCGATAGACCGACGCACAGAATATGTAACGTAGCCAAAAGACAGCAAAAATTCGACAAATAATATTCTAATAAAAATGTTCTATTTTGAACAGGAATATTTTAACAAAACTAAATGAAAAAGATAAGTAATCACTTTCGTTTTTAGTTAGATTCCTTTTTAAGCGACAAGGTCTGGTTGTTTGGAGAACTGCAAAACGCCTTGTGGATATTTATTCCAGTGTTTAGAATATAGGGTAAATGTTCCAATTACTACCAGCGTCCCTAATACAGCCATTTTATTTTAATTAATAATAACGTTACGTATAAAGAAATGTGTATACATAAAATTTTATTATTTAATCGGAACTCTAATTTTGATAAAAACACAGAAATGCTGGCACTTGTATGTACCCACCGGGTAGTTAAAAATTAATATTGAAACATGAGGGTGCAGTTTGAGCATCAACTGCACTAAAGAAAGAGCCGTAAAAAATTTTTTTTCAACTAGCTCTAACTAACTCAAATCAGTGTAATGCTTTGAACACCTCAAACAAAACGGGCGTTTACCAATTGGTATTGGTAAATGTTGGCATTTTCTGAAATAGTTTGATACAACCCCGAAATAAAAACGTTTACAAGCATTTTTCGGATTTTAACCAGTCCACTGTGGTAAATGCTAGAATTGAATTTACCGGTAAAATTTTAACAAAACAATATATAACGAATTTTTTTTTGAATTCTCAAAACGTAGGTATACGAATAAAACCCCAGACTGATTGTTTACACTACATATGTGTTATGATTTTCATCTACAGAAATCCTAAAAAAAGCCGTGTTTTTACAGCGTTTACGCTAGAATGTACCCTTAAAGACGAATACCGATGAAGAATCGTCGATGATCAACGTTGAAACACTTTTCGCAGGCTATCAAGTAACCTTTCCGTTTTGTTTGACAGACCAGACTGACACGGAGGTATCGGATAAAGGCTGGCGTGCCGACGTTAATTTTATTGGACGGCACGAACGGCTCGGTGGTCACCCGTGGGGGTGTCGAACGGACCATCGGCGATCCTGCCGGGGCTGAATTCCCTTGGAGGCCTCCGCATCCGAAGGCTGCCCTCGAGGACGGCCCGTTACTACCATGCGGCGCTCGCGACAGCAACGAGCCAATGCTGCACGAAGAGCTCCGCCATTGCTTCAAAGGCGTCTATTTTAGCGCACACTGGGTATATATACATTTACTTTTATAATACAAAATGGCACTCCATTTATACACATGAAATGCATAATTTATTAAGACCCCTATCCCCTTAGCGGCCCGAGAAAAAAGTGTCACGAATTTTTTTTGAAGGAAATAAAGAAGATATGGTAAAAAAAATTCCTGACCCTCATTTATTATACATTCAGGTAAATAAATCAAATTTTTGTTTCAATATTCCTGCATTGTAGGTGACGCTAATCGTGTTGATCCGAAATTGGACTGTATACAAACGGTGCCCGTCATAACGTAAAAGCTACTATCGTTTTTAAAAATTCTTGTGGCATTCTTTTTGTAATTAAATCAGCTATCGTATGACCTATTACTGAAAATTTTGAAGCATACATTCTTTTATTATTCACAGTAATATACTTAAAATTTCCTCCTTTTTCTGCATGTCTTTGTTAAACCTTATACCCAAGGTGGCCATTTTATTTTCTCGACTTCATTGTAGGTCGTACGATAGACGTTGCAGTAACATCCAGTAATCTTTTTGAAATTTTGATTTCGAACTACGCTACATCGAGATATCGTGGCCACCGTCTGTAGAGTGCAATTTCGGATCAACTCGATTAACACCACCTACAATTTACCACGTTGAACAAATGTTGTTCTTTTATCATATCTTCTTTGCATTCTTTAAAAAAAAATTACTAAATATTACTTTTTTCGGGTCTCTAAAGGCAAAAGGCACTTGAGGGATTGACAACTTGAACCCTTGTTAATCTTTAAATGCATGATGTTTCCAAATATAACAGAACATTTTGAAATTGCCAATTTATATGCCATAAAACGATGGAAAAATAATTTTAAAATCTATCTTGTTCTTTTACATTGTTTTATCTGAAAAAGGGCTTGTTGCCAGATGGGTATAACGTATATATGTATAGAACATATAAACGTATCGCAAACTAATTGTAGTAAAGTCGCTTTAACTGCGCACGGAAAAGCTTCTATGTTAACGATCCCCTCTGGAACCAATCGAACGTAAATTTATTACGCCAGTGGTTTCCCCTTTACGAGCCGACGCCTGAACAAGGGGATCCCAAAAAAGATTAAACAGCGGCGTGTCGATCAGACAAACACTAATGCAACTTTCGGCTGACTCGACTCTCACTTTCTCTTTCTTTCTCATTCACTGTCCTTTTACGCAATCGTCGTTGCTGGCATTACATTGTATTTACAAAGGTGACCTTTTTTTTTTTTTTTTT